CAAGCCCTCTATAAGGCGTGGATTTTTTAAAGAATATTTTTTCAAGCCCTCTATAAGGCGTGAGGCGACAAACAAAATAACTGAAAATACTTCTGCATGCTTCATTGCAGCGATCAGAGTTTGTCGAAAAATTATTGACTTGATTCACTTTCTTTAACGGCACAAAAAACGAGGGGCACACTCACTCACCCACATCCATACATACACACTCACACACTTTGCATATCACAACACACTGTAAACGGAAGAGTGGCTTGTATAACGGAAGTGCTACAAAAAATTGCCAAAAGGCAGAACGATTTACATAGAAGTGCACGAAGACAAGCTGAGGACCCAACAGCTAAGCAGACAGACATACAGAATGCATGAAAGAGATAGAAATTTGCTATACAAATTGTAGTTGCAAAAATTGTTGTCGAATAAATGGACACAAATTTAAATAATCGTGAATTGAATAAATGTGCTGCTTTGGGTGCCACTCTCGTCGTGTTCATTTTATTTCAATATTTATATGGGAAACGAACAAAGGGAACTGCAAGCTACAGCGACAGTTCGTAAATTTGTGCAGCGGAAGTTGTTAACAATGCAAAAAAGAAATACTAAATATAAGTAAGAGACAACATGCTGACATTAGCACCACGGCAAAAAAATTTGTAAAATGTTTCAACAACTTATCCAGATGTTTTTTGTTGAGAAATTAGTTTTTAAATACTTGCAAAAAATTTTTAATTTAACATTTCTAGGGTAAGGATTTCAAAAATTTATTTTTAAATATCTACGCCTTGTTAAGGTCTTTAAAATTTATTTTTAAATATCTACGCCTTGTTAAGGACCTCAAAAAATTATTTTTAACCAGTAAGGAAAGTAGTAAAGTCGGATGGGGTCAACTATATGATACCCTTCACCACTATTGGCGTATTAAACAGGACTATTTACATGAAATTGGATGAATTGATTAATTAGATCAATCCATAAACATGTCATTCGTTTGCTACAATGGACAAAATTATGTAAATCGGCTTCAAACAAATATCAATATTACATTCGTTGGGCTATGTCTGTACTTCTAGAAAACGCAACGTTCTTTTATGTTAAAGTTTGTACGTTGGGCAAAATTTCATGTCAATCTGACAAACATGAGGAGTTTAATGTACCATTTACTTAAAATCGGACGAAAATATATATATTGGAGGATGACCGTAATGTAGGGGCCGCACTGAAACGAGGACCAATGTTAATAATTTTTGGTAAACCCAAAATATCAAAGTACAGCCGCCCATTAAAATCCCAAAAAAAATTACAGCAAAATTTGTTAAAAGACTTGTCCATAATTTCAAACATACTGAAATTTGTATTGTATCGTTTTTTGAGGGCTACACTGAAAAGTGGTTCAATATTGATAATTTTATATACAGACCGAATTGGCTGTTATTTGATATTTTGGGTTCTCATTAGGTATTAACTAATGAGAACCCAAAATATCAAATAACATCCAATTCGGTTCAAAACATGTCCAAAATAGAGAGATTTTGGAGGTAACGTATGGGGGATATGCCTACACGTCCACTGATATAGCTCTGGCACTTCTGTGCAAATTTTTGGACAGCTAGCTCAGTTTCTGCAGATGCTAGAGTGATTACAACAGACTGATGGACATAGCTATATCGTCTTAAAATTTTACACTGATCAAGAATATATATACTTCATTGGGTCAGAAACGATTATTTTGAAAAACCAAACATACAACGATGGAGGGTGTAAAAATGGGTAAAAATATGCTGAAGCCAACAATTTGTTTGTCTTTAGCTAATTTATGACTAAAATACACCATTTACAGACTTGTGCTCAACGACTGAATTGAAGAACCCCATATTGGCAATATAGTTCTAATGTATGATTTTTCCATATTTCCACCGCATTGGGGAGGCATATAGGGGAGACTGGGGCACCTTCGGCATCGGGGCACCTTTGGCAATCGCGTTTTCGATATGAAGCTCTCACCGTACATCCCTAGTTTCGATATATAGGTATCGAGTATCGAAATAAATAACTGACACAAAGTTTGAAATTTCTAGCTAATAAGCTTATTTAGATACATGGGTTTTTGTATTTTTATAGATGTTTCTGTAATATTTCAATTCCATTTCGTAAGTATTTCGTGTATAAAAATTTTGAAATTTTTAAGACAATATTATTAAAAAAAGGTTAACTACGATGTGTATTATTAATTATAATAATATTAAAAATATAATGTTTTTACAAAATTGATCGAAAAAAAAATAAAAAAGCTATAAAAAGTACATTCGGGGTACATTCGGCATTTTAAAGTGGGGCACATTCGGCAATATACAGATTGTGCAATATTATTTCCTTAAAATGTTTGAGTTCGTCTTTAAAACTAATCCTTTAATATGGTTCGAAATTGCATATATAAGATCAAACGTGCTTGTATTGACGAAAATGCGATAGAAAACCCCTATTTCTGATGGTGTGTGCGACCTTGAGATGTAAACGTCCGCTGCTAGAAAATAAAGCCCTATAATTCAAACATTGTGTGGGGTATTAAAACCAAATCGAGCCTTAAGAGGATCAGAATTTCAACCAGACTGATAGCGATGACAATTACCCGGCTATGACTACGGTGCCGAATGTGCCCCATCAAATGCCGAAGCTACCCCGGGTTGGGGCACTTTCGGCGAATTTGACTTTTTTTACAAAACTGTAAAATTTTTTAACTACTACTATTTTTTTATATCTTTTTGGTACTATTTTTATAATTAAGTGTCAGAGGACAGTAATCAGCCATAAAGTTGTTATATATGTTGAATAAGTACTGAGATATAGAGCTCTAAAAAAAGTGCCGAAGGTGCCCCAGTCTCCCCTACACGGTTCTTGGTGGATATGAGCATATGAGATTTAAAAGCTTTCAAAATATTCACCCTTTGTAGGGGTGGAGCTAGAAGGAGTGGACCGATAAGTCCCATCTTGCAACATTATACAGGTTTAGTTAAAATATTAGGGTGTCAATGTTTGGTTCAAATCCGATCCGTCTGTTCCCAATAAATTTTCAGCAAAATTTAGACCATTTTTTGGGGGGAGGTACCAGAAGGAGTGAACCGATATTCCCCATATTCGAACTAGATTTAAGTTTGAAAAAAATATTACTATGTGCACAGCTTGGACCAAATCGGACATTCCATTCGCTTTATATTAGATTTATGAATATTCAATATGTTGACACTTTGTGTGAGGGTATCAGAAGGACCGATAGGATTGGCAAAAATATTGCATTGTGCAAAGTTTGGATGAAATTGGCTATTGCGTTCGTTTCATATGAGATTTACAAGTTTTGAAAATATTGACCCTTTGTAGGGGAGATACTAGAAGGTGTGGACTAATGAGTCCCATCTTCGAACATTATAAAGGTTTCGATAAAATATTAGGTTTTGCAGAGTTTAGTTGAAATCGGATAGTCAGTTCGCATTATATTATAAAATTAATTTTCATCAAAATATTGACAATTTTGTGGGGTTACTTGATTAAATTTTGGAAGCAATTTTACGATGTGCAAAGTTTGAAGGAAATCGGTTACTCCCTTCGAGAGTTATCTTGTACATCAGCCAGCCTGTCAGACACGCAGACGGACGGGCGGATATTTGTAAATGAGTCCAATTTGTCTGAAACGGATTTGGTCCAAAGAACCATGGAGTATAAAACCAATATTTCGATGCGGCACATTTTTGCCGTAGCAAAGCATATAAACCCTCTTTAGCCTCAAATATACTTCGAAATTCAATTGCAGTTGCACTAAACAAATTAGTAATTTTGCCCCCGGTCCCCCTTGGGCCACCCCTGGCTACATATATATATATATATATATATATATAGATCTGAAGCGATTTTCACGAAACTCAGCACACACTAAACACACTGGACCGATTTTCACGAAACTTGGCAGACGTCACTCTAGGCTCAATTCAGTACGCTATTCAAAATTTCGTGCAAATCGAAAGATATATAGGGACTTTGATGCACCATTTATATAAAATCGGACGAAACTATATATGGGAGCTATATCTAAATCTGGACCTATTTTCACGAAACTTAGCAGACATCACTCTAAGCTCAATTCAGTACGCTATGCCAAATTTCGACCAAATCGAAAGATTTATAAGGTCTTTAATACACCATTTACTTTAAATCGGACGAAACTATATATGGGAGCTATATCTAAATCTGAACCGATTTTCCCCAATTTCAATAGGGTTCGTCCTTGGGCCAAATAAGTGATCTATGCCAATTTTCGTTCAATTCGGATCATAAATGCGACCTGCACTTTGTTTACAATTTAACATGGACAGACGGACGGACATGTATAAATCGACTTAGAAAGTGATTCTATGCATATTCTTAAAAGGAACCATGTGCCTATCTTGTTTCCTTTTGCCTGTTACAAATATATGCACAAAGACATAATGCCCTGTACCACAGTGTTAGTGAAGGGTGTAAAAATCTACGCCATGTTAAGGTCTTCAAAAAATTATTTTTAAACATCTACGCCTTGTTATGCCAAGGATGGCCTTATCACAAGTCCCAATTTTTTTTTAAATATTAACACAATATTTTCTGTTTGTTTAAAATTTTATTATTCTCAATAAAAATAATTTTATTACTTAACTAAATGAGAAATTTGGCCAATAAGGGGCTCCGAATGATTTGAGAGGATGAACGTGATAAATAGGAAAATGGCATAAAATTTTGAAATAAAAAAGGTTTAGGAACAACTACAACAAAAACTGGACATTGACATTCAAAAGGAACACCGTGACATACAAAAGTGGCCACTGGACATGGACAACTACTACTAATGAGTTGGAGAACAGCAAACACTAATTATCTTTCCTCGGATAGGTAATCAGTGGCAAAACATCTCTCTCCAACCCATTCGGGTCACAATGCAATCTAAGTTGGTCATTGTCTTTGTGTTTTGCTGTTGTTGCTGTCGTGGCTTAGAAATTGTAGGCCAAATTGCCACTTTGGAATTTGACGGAAGACACCTTATCGGAGGGTGAGTATTGGCCACTTTCCAAACCATTACGTGGTGGAATTGGAGAAGCTTCAGCGGGAGCAGCAGCAGTGGTGTAGGCTTGGGTGTGGGTAGCAGGAGTGGTGGGGGTGGCAACAGTGGCAGTGGTGGCATAGCTGGCGGGTTGGTATTGTTGTTGTTGCTGTTGCAATTGTTGTTGTTGGGCAGCTTGTTGCTTCAAATATTCGGCATATTGTTCGGCGGTGTAGTATTGATTGGCCTGGGGTTGTTGGGCAACGGTAGCTTGTTGTTGTTGAGCGGCAGCGGCAGCTGGTTGATTGCTGTACAATTGTTTCAACAACTCACGTTGTTGGTTGGCATAGTACAATTGTTGTTGTTGCTGCTGTTGTTGTTGTTGAGCCAATTGCTGTTGAGCCAAAGCTTGTTGTTGTTGCTGATAGGCATAGTAGGCAGCGTTGTATTGATCAGCAGAATATTGAGTTTGGGCAGATTGTTGGGCCTGTTGGGCAGCAGCGGCAGCGACTTGTTGATATTGGGGTTGTTGAGCGGCAGCAGCTAATTGTTGACGTTGTTGCAATTGTTGGATGGTTTGAGCGTACTGGGTAGGTTGATAGGCAGCAGCTTGAGCAGGAACGCCAGCACCAGCATAGTTGGCATATTGAGTAGCTTGTTGTTGTTGTTGGGCCAATTGTTGAGCATAAGCAGCACTGGTATATTGGGGTTGAGGTTGTTGATATTGTTGTTGTGCCTGACCAGCAGCCAATGAGGTGTACTGTAAAGAGAAGAAGGGAAATTTTGAAATTAGAAAATTGTTTCTGAGAAATTATGTGGTATGGATGGACAAGTTGACTCGTACCACCGCATAACAACATTTTCCCGTTGGAGGCTTTGCCATTCGATTTGATGCCATATTCATTGTCTTCATTTGGTACATGATTACTTTTATTATTAAATAATCTTACAAATAATTTTAAAAAAATAAATAAAATACACTGACAATTTCAAAACAATTTACACAAATAATTTTTTAATTAGAGAAATAAAAAAATATTGAAGGTAAGGTCGAAGCCTTCCTTGTTAATTTTTTCCAAATGTTTGATATTACAAAGTAAAGTTTTTTTCGGTCCACAGGATTTCCATTTCAAAATATTATTTCTAATTTAGGGGTGGAAGGCCTTTGAGAGCAAACAAAGATTAAAAATCTCGTTAGAAGACGGTCAAGACTATTTTCTATATACTTCGACTTCCAAAATATGATATGAGAGTGTTTCAGGATGTATTTTTTAAGGATATCTGAAAGCACATTTTAATATTTTTTACACATAGAAAGTTCAGATCTTCTTCAAGGATTCAGAGTTCATTCAGAGTTTTGAGTCATTATCTAGAGAATATACATTTCAGGGATTCTGATATAAAGTGAGACCTTTTGAAGTGCTCCTGTGCAAAGGGAACCTTCAAAAGAGACCTTGGTTCCTTAGGAAGCTATCTAACGGTTTTTGCTTTTAAAAAATGTTCTAAACTTAGAAAATCTTTAGATTTCGGTATTTTACGGATTAAAGGAAGTCTTCTCTAACTCTGCAATCGATTTCTCACTAGACCTTAAAAATATCCTTTATATTAAATACCCCTTTAGAATTTTCCTTTTTTTCGAAAACATCTTCTAGCCAATATATAATTCCGGAAAACTTCTACATATTTGAGATTTTCATGAAGTCTTCTACAACTCAGAGAACAACAGTAGGTCTACTGTAGAGAGGTTTCTCCAGACACCTAAATGGTCTTGTATATACCTTCATAAGATCTCTATATATAAAAATAGACCTTCAGGATGCATTTTTGTTGAAAGGAGAACTTCAGAATCTCCTTCTAAGAGACAGGATAACTTTTTTAGGTCTTTGTCTCACAGAAAGTCACTTTAAAAAAAAAAACTTTTATATTTAGAACATATTCTGGACTTTTTGTTAAATTATGGGATTTCTTGGAAACTTTTCGTCAGAAAATTCTTTATAGGAAGTATATAAAAGGCTTTCAGAATACACCTTATACATTAAGTATTTGCAAAAATTTACCTATATTGAACGTATTCCGGGCAGAAGTGTTTTCTTTACCAAGAATCTGAAATGCCAAAGTTGAGCTTTTTCGGTTGGAAAATGCGATTATAAGCCTTAAAATACCAAAAAGTGGGCGGGACCTTTAGGGATCATTTGCTGTGCAAATATATACCGATCCCCAAAAACCCCTAATTGTCAAATTACAGAATTTTCGGTTGGAAAAGTGCGCTCATAATCTTCAAAATATCGAAAATTGGGCGTGATCTGTATATGGAAATATTGTAAAAAATTAGGAATTATTTTTTGCGCCAGTCTTGAAAACCCAATAAAGAGTCCTTTTGATTGGAAAATGCGTCTAAAAACTTAAAAATAAAGAAAATATGTCGGGATCTTTCTATGGAGCTTGTGTCGAAACATAGGCCTATTTTTCTGAGCGAATGTATACCAGCCTCCAAAACCTCGGTATGACAAATTACAGGCCTTGTGGTTGGAAAATACTGCTAATAACCTCAAAATGCCGAAAATTGCGCGGGATCTTTATAAGGGGCTATATCAAAACATACAGCCTTCAAGACCCCGAAATATCAAATCAGAGTCTTGGTGGTTGGAAAATGCGCCTCAAATATGGAAAATTGGGCGGCTATGTCAAAACATGGACTTATTTTAATCATTTTCTGCGTAGATCTATCTCAGCCCACAAAAAAGTACAGTCCTTTTGGATGGAAAATTCGGATAAAAGACTTTAAAAACATAATATGGGCCAGAATTCATAATTTTCTGCATAGATCCGTGTAAGCCAATCAGAAGACGGTTGGTTGGAAAATGCCTCTGAAAACTTCAAAATACCGTGGACCGATGTCCCTCATTTGCAATAATTTCAAAGACCTTTCTTAAATATTGATATCACAATCATGGTTTCAAGAGACAGGCGGACATTTCCAAATCGAAATAGAATTTTATTGTGATCAAGAAGAGATATGGGGTCTAGACAAATGTTTTTAAGTCGTTTGCAATACCAAATTTATGTTGGAATTTATAAAATATCTACCCGAATACCTAAAAAGGAGATTTAATCGCAAGATAAGGAACAAAAAATAGACCCTTCGCGATTTATGATCGATCACTACTAGGTGATCGATTAATCAATGAACTAAGTAGTGAACTAGGATCTAGATGAACGAACTAGTTCCATCAAAAGAAATCGGAACTTTGCTCTTTTAAATGAACTAAAATATACAATACAATATTCTATTCTAACTTTTCGAATCTATCGACAATTTAAGATATACTCAAAGGGAGAAAGTGAGAAATACGAAATATTATAAAGGTATCATGTGAAGTATATGATTTCACTTACTATTAATTTATTTTTTACTGACAACATTTTTCCACGAAATGTAATTGAAATTACATTACATGACAATAAATTTTCAATAACAAGACAAAATATTCGACCACAAATTTGGAGCCAAATATTACATATGTGTTAACACAAAACTATTAACAAAAAAAAAAAAACAACTAATTATTATACAAAATTATTTATAAATAATAAAGACAAAAAACTAAAAAAATACAAAAATAAATTTCCACATAAAGATGACATTCAAATGGCCAATGGACATTTATTTACCCACAAAAATAATTATATTTTTTTGCGGCTAGCTAGGCAATTTTACAGATTTTTATCCAAAAACTGCCATACATGCATTGCAGAGACATGCAATGCATACTCTATTTTTCTGTTTTTGAAAGAGCGAACGAGAAAAAAATCTAATTATTTTTATTAAAAGTTATACTAATTTTTAATTGTTTTATAAATTTATATAATGTTTGATGCAAGTAAACATTGCAGTTCATTCTCGTTGGAAAATTCATACGTGTTGCAATTATTAATTTACATTGGAAATTTAACGCTGCGGGGAATTTCATTTGAATTTTTCTAAAAATATTTGTGGTATCGAAACATAAACCATTGGCAATTATGTATAATTGCAAATTTGGTTTATTAATTAAATTTCACAGAAATGCATTTCGAATTTTTGCGATATATTTGACATTGTTGTCATTGCGGGCGGCTGATGGCAGACCACAGGTAAGAAGGGATATATATTTTTTGTGGGTGGATTTGTAAGTGAGTGATTGAAATGGAAATAAAAGTTGCGAAATTCGGAGAAATGGATGGAATTGTAAAGTGGAATAATAAAATAAGTAAATTTTGATAATGATCGTAAGTAATTTACATCGGTTCTCATTTAGCCATTATTCCCACTGGCATATTATTTAATACAAAACATAATTGTTTATTGTACTTACAAACAACCTAAAAATATTACTGAACTTCAGACTATATCAATCAGTCTTAATACATACTGGGATATTAACAAAAATTAATTCAAAATCTTTCCTTAAATCTCAATACCCAAAATGTTGTTTCTCGAATTTTAGTCTAACCTGTGAAAATCTCAATTCATTGAAATTCTCATTGGGATATTCTGGAATTAATCACTCAATAATAGTTTTAATTTTCTAATGGGATATTCGCTAATAAATCTCTATGACAAATGTAATCTACAAAACTATATACTGACGGTGCCTACTGGGATATTTTTTAATGGAAAATGCTTTCATAAAATTTGTTAAAGTAGATATTCTCCACGTTCCTGCCAGCCCTTATATCTACTGGGAAATTTTCTGAGGTGATCATATTCTTAACATTCCTGCTAGGTTAACATATTTCGGCAATCTCTCTATAGTACAAATTATTAATCACTATATATTCCTACTGGGATATTTTTGATTCAAAATGCGTCCATAACTTCTGCTGAAGCAGATTAAAAGAAAAAAGGTTATCAACATTTCTTTTTCGTTATAATTTTTTCATACTAGTATATTTTATCTACACTGGGTTTGCCACTGGATTGATTTAATACATATGGATTTCCTCCAATATCCATCAGATATTATTCCTATTGGGGCAATTTTAAAGTACAAAATTTTTTATCTTTCTAAACTTCTCCTTTCTTCATTCGTTGTAGAATTTTATTTTCTCTCTGGGATATCCCCACTAAAAATATTCTTTCTATAGCTTGTTGATCTATAACACACTTCATTTTCCTAATGGGATATTTTTTGATATAAACTATTTTATCCGGCAAAGTAGACTTTATAAATAAATGTTTTATTCTCATTTTAAATCTTGAAAAAGAAAACATGTAAATGTCTTGAATATATGAGACCTCCTCAATCTATACTATTTCCCACTGGGATGGTTGTGATTAACATTACGTATTATTCCCACTGGGATATTCTGTAAATGTCCAATGTGCATAAAATACTTCCCTATACACTATTTCCTACTGGGATGGTTGTGATTTACAGGGATTTCCTCAAATCTGCATCAAATATTATTCCCACAGAGAAATTCTTTAAATTCCCTATGTTCATTTAAATTTGTTCTGTTTCTAATCATCCATTTATTTTAGGACTTCTTTGAAAGTGTGGCAATGGGTGCCGTTCAAATGGCCGGCCAGGCTGCCGAAATTATGGCAAATGGTGGTGCGTTGAAAAACGACAATGGTTTTGAAGTGCCCTTCGCCAAAGTGCATTCGAAACAGGAAGCTGGATTTGGTGAAGCCATACGAAAGCATGACAACTCAGATTCTTCATCGGAAGAAGATCGGAGAAGACGTAAACGCTCTTTGGGTCTAAGCAATGAAATGGCTTTGGAATCACTGTATGAAGTGGAAGCCCTACTGCCTTTGCCACATCAGCATCGTTCAAAGAGGGCACCATGTTTCAGCTGGGGAGGAATGGGAAGTGGAGGAGGTGGTACTACTGGTGGCGGTGGAGCTGGCAATGGAGGAGATGGTGGTACTGGAGGAGGTGGTGGAGGAGATGGCATTGACGACGATGTCTTCGACGTTGAGCGTAGACGCCGTCAAATGGCTGCCCGTAGACGTAAGGCGGCCCAACAACGCAAGAAATCTCGCACCACGGGAAAGAAGACGACAACTCGAAAAACAAATAAAAAGGGTTTTATGGGAGAGGAAGGAGATGAACCGGTGGTATCAACTGCCTCAAGACGTAAACGACAAACAGAAATTGAAGATCTGAGTAATAATATGACTAAGAGTGGTAAAGATATTTCACAACATGCCCAACAATTTGCCGAAACTATACGCGGAGCTTGGGAAAATTTTGCCAATTCGATGAATCAATTCGCCCAGAAATTTAAGCAGGCCTTTGCTGGTAATAGTGGTGGAATGGGAGGAAGTGATGGTGGCGGTGGTGAAACTGGTGAAATTTAATTATATCGAATTGTGAATGTTTTGTTAATTATTAAAAGCTGGGTAATCGGAAAATATATGATATGATTTAAGAAGTGTTTTTTTTAGCGGGGATATATATCAGGTGGGTATTAGGAATCAAGATACTAAAGTAGATTTTTCTAATATTAAAATTAAATATTTTTCCTATGATATTCTTTTTGAAAATATACATCTAGTTCATAAAAAATTATAAAATTCTAAAAAAATTATTAGTGAAAATTCCTGTTTGTGGTTTTTGAATATATTCCTTATTTAAAATTTGGGTTCATGAAAACATTCCTAAATTTCATTATAATTGTTCCTGAAAAATTGTGTTTTTATGTATCAACGACTGTAATATATGAAGGAAATCCACAAAAACATTTGCAGTTATAGTTAATAGAAATATTCCTAAAATAATAAAACAAATTCATAAAAAGGCATTAGCACTTTGCGTATGAAAAATATTCCTAAATCTTTGGTGTAAAATTTCACGTTTTGAAGTTTATGAAATTGTTCATAAAATCCAAAAATTGGTTTCTTAAAAATTACTTCAACTATTTTGAATAAACATTTTGGTATTGCCCTTCACCTATCTCCTAATATTCGAAATGGTGGATTGTGGTCAGGTTCTTCAAGCAAATAGACTCCAATTTGATACTTTGGGTTCTTATTGGTTAGCAAATGTCTCTACGAAAAATAATCAAATTCGATCCACTTTTGAGGGTAGGCCCCCTACCTATTTTGGGTAGTTCTGGTATGATGGGTCAATTTTTACATCGCAAATGTCGGAAATTAGGTGCTTCAGTACGATTTTCAACCGAATTGCCTGTAATTTGGTATTTTCAATGCATAGCAAATCTTCCTATCGAAAATTATAAAGATCGGTATCATGTTTAGGGTAGCCCCCAATATTACCGTACCTCCCAAATTTCAATCATTTTGGGAGCTTTTCATCCGATTTTTATTTTATTTTATTTCTACAAAATATTACCTCTATCGATCAACATTATAAGGTTGCCCCCATATAAAGGCATCCCTCAATATGCGGTATTTTTGTGGAGGTTGGACGCTTTTTTCAACCGAATTGTTAATAATTTGATATGATCTCATTGGTTAGGAAATCTTCTTCCAAAAAATTTATTAATATGGGTGACTTTTTAGGGTAGCCCATATAATCGTACCTCTCAAGATAATTTTTTGATAATTTTGGTAGCTTAGTCAAATGGCTGCAATTTGAGGTAACAAATATTTTTACAAAAAAATGTCATTATTTGTCAAAATTTCGAGTTATCCTTCTTATAACTGTGCCCCGCAAATTTCTATATTTTCCAAAGTTGGGGCACGAATTACAAAAATTCGCCGATCTTTGGGTATAGGCACTATATAAAGATCAAGGCCTTTTATAGGTATTTTGATGGTCCTGGGTACATTTTCCAACCAAAGCTTTTCATTGCGAATTCTCAGAAATTGGAAATTCCGGGACTGTGTTGGAAAAGTTATTTAGTTTCAGAATATTTTAAATATAATTATATTCTATAATTCTACATAGCCTCCATAGAATGGTCACGTGCCATTTTTGGTATGTTCAAGGTGGCCACACCAATTAACAGAAAAAAAGGTTGGATCGATTTTCAATATGAGAAGCATTGGCCAAGCGGAATGAGGTAGACCCATTTCTTAAACGGATGGTGACTGGAACGATCGTGGTCAAAGAAACACCTCAAACGGTGGCCAAACCAGGACTAACGAGAAGATTCTGCTATGCATTTGGTGGGAGTGGAAGGGGATTATTTGTTATGAGTTGCTTCCATATGGCCAAACGCTAAATTGTGATCTCCATGGTCAGCTTTGAAGATAGCAATTGACCAGAAACGGCCAGAGTTGGCTAACAGGAAATGTGTCGTGTTCCACCATCGCTAGAAACTTCGAGAGCTTAGTTGGGAAGTTTTAATACATCCGCCATACAGTCCGGACTTGATACCAAGCGATTATCATATTTTTCTTGGATTGCAACATTTCTTTAATGATAAAACATTTGTATCTAGGGAGGATTGTGAAAATTGATTGTGAAGGACTTCTATGAGAGAGGCATTATGATGTTACCTTTAAAATGGCAACGAATCATACAACAAAACAGTACATATCGGAAATTTCGAAGGATATTAAATTAACTCCCATAGTTCATAAAAAAATAATGGATTTCTTTTTCCCCAAACTAATATCTGTTGGAGACTATGTATGCCTGTTTATTGAAATTGCGATGAAAAAAAAAAATGAGGTTGAAAAAATCGTTGCATAAAAATGTCCATATTGGCTCATGTTTTTACTGAGCCCTCATATAAGAACCACGGCCCATTTTATATATTTTCAATTAGTACCTCAAGATATAGGGTATAAAATGTTCGGTCAGGCCGACCTTTACGTGTTTTCAATTAAAAAATGTCCTCCGTTCCTTACCCCGCAATTATCTCTCTCTCTCTCCCCACCTTGTATTTACCTTAAATCCTTAAATTGCCATACACAAAATCCGGTCGGATTTTGTGCATTCCGAATGTGCACCTCATGAATGAGGGTATACAAAGATCCATTCTGTCTAACTTAAGGAATTTTCACTTTGTAAAATGTCCTTCATCCATTCCCTCATCGACCTCCGTTCTGTCCCCTCCCTCCATTTAACGAGATACTTAAAAAAATCTCCTCCGTCCCTTACCTCAATTTCTAAAAAATATTTACATTGCCACACCATATCCGGACCGATTTTAGGTATGCTAAATGCATACCTAAAATGATGGAGGGTAAAACAAGTTCGGTTCGGTCTCACTTAAGGACTTCTTAAACTATCCTCCATCCATTTCTCCTCACAATCACTCTCCTCTCCTACATTTAACTTAAATCCCTAAATAAAAAAATATTTCAATTGCCAAAGGTGCCTCATGTCTGGATTTGACTGGAAATCTTTTCATAGTACCTCTGAATTTAGGTTAATTTAATGAATATTAATGAAAGTGCTCCATAACATCTGGTGTTCATGGTGCTTACGATGATGATGAATATCTTTAATAATAACAGCAACAAAAACGACATCGTTTATACAATATGCCAAGTTTGCATGTTTGCTCTACAAAGATAACAACGTAGCTGCAGAGTAAATAACAAAAACAAAATAAAAAACTACAACAACAACAACAACAAAAAACATTTCCGGCCACTTCCGTTACATCAAACAGCAAAACAAAATAATCAGGCTGGCTGGTACTCCACACTGATGAAATGCAAATAGATAGCAGACATGTACATGATGTTCGAATCGGGATGTTTTACGATCCTCAGCTCCTCCACCTTACTCCCTGGGCCAGCCATCTGGTTACAAATGGGTAATTGTATGTCTCTCTGTTTTGAAGGTATCAAAAGTATAATAGCCCCGTTAGAAAATGGCTTTGTTAACAATTGTAAAGAAAAATTTAGCAGCGCAACAGTTACCGAACGGTAGGAAATAATAAATAAACGGTTATAAAAAACCCCTTTCTTTTTGTTGTCGTTGTTGCTTTTTGTTAATTGTTTTATCGCTTTTTTCTTCTTCTTTGTGAAGAAAGCTAAAGAAGGGATATTTAAATACAAAAAATTAGGACACAGCTCTGTGACAACAATTAAAAGCCTTTTAAATTGGCAACTTAAAAAAGCAATAAATTTAAAAGCCTTTATAAATAGCAGCAGGAGGAGGGGAGGAGAAACCAATGAAGAAAAACAACAACAAAGGATATTAATAACAATTATTATTTGTCAGCAATCATGACGACGATAGGGATGAGGATGCCAAAAATAGCCTCACTCTTTAATGCTGCAACCATGTCACTTTTGATGTTTTCCATAACTATGGGTTTGAGCGGTCTGGGTAGGCAGATGACAGCAGAGGTGGAGGCCTTTCAAAAGCCTAAGGTAGGTTTTCCATTGGAAAAAAATCTTTAGCCCCAACAAAAAAATCATTAATTTTCTTTAATACCCAAACATAATCTCCTCTCCCCTTCACAAAAAACAAAAACAACAACAAACAATGCGGAAAAAAGTTTTCACATCATCATCGTTGCTGATGAAAACCCAACGAAAATTAATACATCATCATCGTCGTTTTCGACGTGATACTTATGTTGAGGGCACCGATGCTGAATATCATGATGATGATGAAAATTACGAAATCATACCAACATTCGATGCTAACGGTGAAAGACCCAAATCACCCGGTGAACACATTTCAGAGAGAGCTGAAAAAATTGCCCAAACCTTTACGAATATGTGGCAATCAATGGTGGATACGGCCAAACATTTAGCCGAAGCCATTCGTCAACTCTTTACCGACGATGAGGAGGAATATCATTTGACGCCCGAAGAGCTGCAGGCACGTGGCTATGCCATCGAGGAACAAAATGAAATTTGGCGTCGTGAAAATCAATTATAAGGGAAAAGGAGAGGATGAGAACCGTATGGAGAATGAAGAGGAAATGGAGAAGGACGTTGGTAGGAGAGGCATAAGAAAATAAAGAGCAGTTGTAATGAATTTGGTTACCGAAAAATATCAAATTACCGAAAGTTAAGCTTCTGGGATATTTCGTACTTATGGGCGAAAAAATATGTGATAATTCAGAATAATTGGAATTTCGAATAAGAATATTGTGTAACACAAAAATAAAATCATTATTATTTATGTGAAATTGGGGCAAGTTGTGTAATATCTCGAAACTTCGAAGATTTATTTACATCATAATAATCGAGGGAATATTAATTTTGAAATTTTTTTTTCAATATATCGAAATATTCAAGGTCTATATATTCTGGAAGGGTGTAAAAATAGAAATCAGGTTTTTAGAAGTAAGAATAAAGTTTGGAATTTTTAATTTAATTCTAGATAAGACATCGGACCCATTTTATTGAAGAGTTTTTAATATTACATTTCAGAATCCCAAAGGATAGGAGACACCTAACAGAATTGTGTACTGTGAATTAGCATTTTCCAAACTAAGCCCTTTGTAATATGAATTTGCAAAATATATTTAATATCATACACGGTGTTGACATTCCGCATAGTATAGATCCCCGTATTAAGGTAAACCCCTGTGGAATTTTGGTCTCGCAAAGGATAAAATACCTTCTAGAAATTTTTTCAGCATAGATTAAAGTTTTGACATAGTTCGTCTACATAAAGATTTTATTACTTTGGGGTTCTTAACGGTTCTACAATCATTTTCCAACTGCAAACGCTATAAATACCCATTTATAGATCAAATAGAATTTCCTTCGGTTTAAGGGTTCTCAATGGTTCCAGAAACACTTTCCAATTGAAGAGGCTGTAATAGGGCATTTATATTTTATTGGAGGAAAAATTGAATATAGCTCGATATTATAACATAGAACTCCATTTAAGTCTTTCCTCATTTTAAGTAATCTGAAGGTCCCAACCACATTTTTCAATATAAGAGGAAATTGCTAAATATCTGTATGTCCTCGCACCAATATATGAAACTGTACCGTTTAAATATAGCATTAATGGAATAGGGTATGAAAAGCTCGCTCCTTTCAATAAATCTCGGTTTGCTTAAAAGGAACTAGTTCATTAATTTAGTTTCACTTTCCGTTTTAGTTCAATCGTTCGTGGTGTAGTTAGGTGGTCCCGGAACGAACTATAAGAACTATTTTGATAAAGGAACAATATGAACTAGGTCCAGTTATTTATTTATTTATTATTTTCGTTAACTATATTAAGGAACTAGTTTCTTTTTGAAAAAATGAACTATCGAAAAATCGATCCGTTCAGTGAACTACATTGCTGAAATCTAGTTCTTGGATACACGTCAGTTAATTCTGCCAATGAACATAAAGATTTGCATCAAAACTTGGTGAACGAGAGCAAAAATGAACAAAGTACCGATAATTTTATTTGCGGAATAGTTCATTTGAACTAGTTAATCGAAATGATTCAGGACTTGGCAACGTTTTCCAATGTAAGAGGTTTTAAAATGCCTTTCCGAAAACTCTTTATTGATCCAATACATCTCTCCAATGCATTTCGGTTTTAAGGAAATAGGTTTGGTTGTTTATTAAGTCACACAGTTCATTTTAATTCAATATTCCTAGGATACACGTCAGTTAATTCGATCAATGAACATGGAGATTTGGATGAACGACTGGTTTAAAAGGAATCTGGTGAAGGAGAGCAAAAGTTAAGGACCGATGGTTCCTTTTGTGGAATATTTTTTTTGAACTAATTCATGTCGAATGCCCATGTCATAGCTACATTTTCCAATGTAAGTGCTTGTAAAATACCTTTCAGTACATTCATCAATATATAAATATATATCCTTTTTTATCTTTTGGCATCACAAATGCATTTCAGTTGTAAGAAAAGGAACTTGGTTTTTTATTAAGTCCACAATTCCTTTTAGTTCAATCGTTATTGAATACAGGTCGGTTAATTTGGCCAATGAACACGACGATTTGTATAAACGATTGGATCAAAATGACAAAAACTTCCGAGCCTAGTACCGATGGTTCCTTTTGGGGAATAGTTCATGTGAAGTAGTTCATGTCAGAATGATCCAAGTCTTAGACAATGTAAGTGTTTCTTAAATACCTCCCAGTAAATGCATCAATATAGATCCGCAGATACTGGGACTAAAAATGTATTTGGGCATCTCTCCAATGCATTTCGTTTTTGAGGAAAGGAACTGGGTTGTTTATTTAGTCCCGCAAAAAGTTCCAGGCCTAGTACAGATGGTTTCTTTTGCGGAATATTTCATTTGAACTAGTTCGTTGGAGTGATCCGGGTCTTAGCTACAGCTTCAAATATAGATCCGATTGCACGCACTAATATTTTTTTCATTTTATTTTAGTATCTCTCCAATGTATTTCAGTTCTGAGGAAAGGAGCTGGGTTGTTTATTAAGTCCCATAGTTCCTTTAGTTCAATCGTTCTTTGATACACGTCAATAAATTCGATCAATGAACATGAAGATTAGGATGAACGATTGATACAAATGGAACTTGGTGAAGGAGAGCAAACATTTCCGGGCCTAGTACCGATGGTTCCTTTTGCGGAATAGTTTATTTTAACTAATTCGTTGGAATGACACAGGACTTTGCTAAGTGGTTGTAAAATACCTCCCAGCAAATTAATCAATATGGATCCATAGATCTACGCACGTAATATATGCAATATATAATATATCTCCAATGTATTTCTTTTTTGAGGGAAAGGAATTGGGTTGTTTATTTAGTCCCGCAAAAAGTTTCAGGCGTGGTACCGATGGTTTCTTTTGCGGAATAGTTCATTTGAACTAGTTCTATGGAATGGTCCAGGCCTTAGCTAAATTTCTCAATATAAGTGAGTGTAAAATACCTCCGAGATAATTGTTCAATATTTTTTCACAGATCTACGCACTAATATATGGAGCTGCTCTATTTTATATTGACATATTTCCAATATATTTCGGTTTTCAGGAAAGAAACTGGGTTACGCATTTAGTCCCACAGTTCCTTTTAATTCAATGGTTCATTGGTACATGACAGTTAATTCGGTTTATGAAGGAAAAGATTTAGATGATGAATTTGATTAAAAGAACTTAGGTGGACGAGAGGAAAGAGACTGAATGGATCATAAATAACATGATGAATGAAAAAACCAGAGCTAGTACCGATAGAAAAAGGGACTAGGTTGTATAATGAGTCCCACATTTTCTTTTAGTTCAATCGTTCCTTTCTAAATGTCAGTTAGCTTCGACAATGAGACAGGGTGATGAAACAGGAAGATTTAGGTGAACGACGGGATTGTGAACGGGAAGAAAAATGAACAACCAGGATCGGGACTAGTACCGATAGTTCCTTTGGCAGAATAGTTCAATTGAACTATTTCATCGCAATTATGCAAATCTTAAAATTAAGTCACAGCATATGATCTAGCCTCACATGACCGATTACAAATTATGGGCCAAAAACTCTTAAAAGAATACTCTGATTTCCAGTTCTACCTATAACGGAATTCAAATTTTCTCTAAAATGCGATGTCATTCTTTGGGGACCTGGAAACTTACATATTAATTTTAAAATCTGTTCCAATTGTTATATGGGTGATATATATAACAATCCTGAACTAGTAGGCTCTGATAAAATTAAAGAACATCAGGTGGACAAACTCTGTAGGAACTTTAACGAACGGAAAAGGGACCGGAACATTTATATGGGGCCCAAGTGATATATGTAGCCATATAAAATATGTTTTTTATTACACTCAAAAAACTCAGAGTGTCAAATTACAGCTACTTGGGTGGAAAAATGCAAGACCTTTTTATAGAGGCTATTTCCACACTTGGTTACACATCGACAATTTTTTCTCCCCAAGATACACACTTACACACTTTGTTGTTCCTCGGAGGAATTTGCTTTGACGTGGCCATTAATATGGGCTCAAGTGTACATCGCTAAGAAGAGATTTTTCTTTTGAGATTGTACTGGATATAGTCTATGTAAGCTACTGGGAAGGAACAGTTCTCAATGACCGACGAATTATTTATATAGAAAAAATTTGTCCTAAGTGATTGAGAATTTTTTTCTATAGAGGAATTTTTATTAAAAGGAATAAATATCCCGCATCATTATTGGGGTTCGAAAATAAATTTTCGGGCCAAAATGTGCGAAAAAAGAAATTCGCCCAGATTTCTTGACCAACATTGAGAATTCAAGCGGGATTTTTTTAAACTGAAAATGGACCGAAATGGCCAGCCATCGGACCAAATTCATTTTTTTTGTATTTCGGACCAAATTTTGTCCGAAATGTCGTAAAACGACAACACTGGTCCGCATTGACCGATGGGGGAAATGTCAGTGACTAAAGCATATTTTTCTACAAAAATTTGCTATGGTATGGCCATAAATATCATTGTATTGAGCTTCGAGGATTATGGGTTAGGTTAAGTAGTCGAAAAATATTTGTTATCCTGCATTAATTTGCAATTTGCTGAATATCTATTATTTCCTAATATTTTCTCTCATTTTTGTTTACTTTGTAATTACGCAATTAAAATGCAAATAGTGTGCAGACATCTCTAATTACACAATAATTATATTAATTAATTGATAAAAATCGTAGTTTTTATCTAAATATCTATTTTTCATGATACAACACAAACACACAAAACATGAAAACAAAGGAACACAAAATAAAATTGAAAATAATAAAAGGAAATTACAGTTGAACATTTGCAAATGAATAGTGACTATTAAGCAACTGCGAAGCCGGACACAATTTCTATTTCAAAAATTTTCCTATAAATTCCAACAAAATTAAAAAACGAAATATTTAATATCAAATTGTGTAAAACATTTGGTGTACGACGCAACTAATCATCATGTTGAAATCCCTATTTGTTGCTTTGGCAATTTGCTGCCTGGTCGTTTTGGGTATGGTGTACAAAGTTGAGGCTCGGCCACAGGTATGTTGTAGAGAAATTTGATTCGAGTTGGAAAAATTAATTAATTTTTTATATATGTGAAATAGGATTCACCTGAAACTACCCTGATGTATTCCCCAATTCCCCTAGAAATTGCAAATGATGATGGCTCAAGTGGCAGTTCATCCAGCAGCAGTAGCGAATCTTCCGGATCAAGCTCTGAGGAGGCCAGACGTAAACGTTCGGTTAATGTTGACAGTTTCGTAGATCAAATTAAATCTTTGTATAATTAATATTAATTATACAATGAAACAAATAAAATTTAAATTGAACATAATAAAATAGATTTAATTTTGAATTTTTAGTCAAAGGGAAGAATACATTTTCAGGATTTTTCTATTTTTTATGAAAAATCAGTCTTCAATGATGCTGATTATCTTTTGCTTTCATTGGAAAAATGTTCACCTCTACTGGAAGAATTTTTTTCTATAGAAATCTGGGCACCCATTTTTTTCATAGAAAAAAAATTAGTCCTCAGAGACTGTTGATTACATTCTCAATTGTTTATGATTTTTTCCATACAACAAAAGTGAGGAATTTGTTTCTATAAAGAAAAATAAGGTCTCAGTGACTGAGGAATTTTATTTCATAAAAATCAGTCCTCATAGACTGAGGTATTTTTTATAAAGAAATCTGTCCTCTTGGACTCAAATAAAAATCCGCCCTCTGTGACTGAGGAATTTTTTTTCCTAAAAAAATCAGTTCTCAGAGATAAAGGATTTTTTTCTATAGAAAAAATCAATTCTCGGTGACAAGATTTTTTCCAAAGAAGAAAATCTTCCTAAAAAATTAGTGCTCATAGTCTGAGGTATTTTTATAGAAAAATTCGGTCCTCTGAGACTGAGTATTTTTTTCAACCGAAAAAAATCTTTACTCTGTGACGGAGGATTTTTTCTAGAGAAAATTCAGTTCTCAGTTACTGAGGATTTTTTTCTATAAAAAAATCAGTCGCAAGTGACTGTGGAATTTGTGTCTATAGAAAAAATCAGTCTTCAGTGACGGAGAAATGTTTCCCTTTAGAAATAAAAACATCCTCAAAAGAAAGAGGTTTCTTTCAATAGAAACACACAGTCCTCAGTCACTTGCCACTGATTTTCCTATAGAAAAAATCACCAGTAACTGAGAACTAAATTTTGTCTTTAGAACAGAGTAAACATTTTTTTCTGTAGCAAAAAAATACTGAGTCTCAGAGGACTGAATTTGTCTATAAAAATACCTCAGACTATGAGAACCATTTTTTATACCCTTCACCATGGTACAGGGTATTATGTCTTTGTGCATATGTTTGTAACAGGCAAAAATAATCGAGATAGACCCATGGCTCCCTTTGAGAATATGCATAGAATCACTTTCTGAGTCGATTTATGCATGTCCGTCTATCCGTCCGTCCATGTATTTTTGTTAACAAAGTACAGGTCGCATTTATGATCCGATTTGGATAAAATTTGGCACAGGTCACTTAATTGGCCCAAGGACGAACCCTATTGAAATTGGGAAAAATCGGTTCAGATTTAGATATAGCTCCCATATATATTTTCGTCCGATTTTATGTAAATGGTGCACTAAAGTCCATATATATTCTTCGATTTGCACGAAACTTGGCACAGCCTACTGAATCAAGCCTAGAACGACGTGTGTTAAATTTCCTGAAAATCGGTTCGGATTTAGACATAGCTCCCATATATTTTTTTGTCCGATTTTAGGTAAATAGTGCCCAAAGTCCCTATATATCCTTCGATTTGCACGAAATTTGGCACAGCGCACTGAATTAAGTCTAGAAAGATGTGTGTTAAATTTCGTGAAAATAGGTTCAGATTTAGATATAGCTCCCATATATATTTTCGTCCGATTTTAGGTATATAGTGCATCAAAGTCCTTTTATGCCATTCGATTTGCACGAAATTTGGCATAACGCACTGAATTAAGTCTAGAAAGATGTGTGTTAAATTTCGTGAAAATCGGTTCAGATTTAGATATAAGTCCCATATATATTTTCGTCAGATTTTTTGTAAATGGTCCACCAAAGTCCCTATATATCCTTCCATTTGCACGAAATTTGGATTTATAAGTAAATGAAGAAATCAAAATGTGGCCGAACATGTGACAAGTTTCGATGAAATCGGTTTAAATTTCGATATTTTGCTTTAAATTTATTTACATAATTTTTTCT